CCAGCAGCGTCCCCATGGCTGTAGGGCAGGTGGGACGGGGCTGGGGGCAGGTGAGGTGACACAGGGAGGTGACAGGAGGTGACAGTGATGTCCCCACCTTGAGGTTGTGTCCGTCGAAGGGCAGGGAGCCGCTGACCAGGGTGTAGAGGATGACGCCCAGGCTCCAGACGTCGACCTCGGGGCCGTCGTAGCGCTTCCCCTGGAACAGCTCCGGGGCGGCGTACGGGGGCGACCCGCAGAACGTGTCCAGCTTCCAGCCCGCGCGGAACTCGTTGCTGAACCCAAAATCTGCCAGCTTGATGTTGGCCTCCGCGTCCAGGAGCAGGTTCTCAGCCTGGGGACACGGGGACAGCTTGGGGACATCAGCATGGGGACATGGGGACAGTCACACAGACATGGGGACACAGGGACAGGGAGATGGGGACACGGGGACTCGTTGCTGAACCCGAAATCTGCCAGCTGAATGTTGGCCTCCGTGTCCAGGAGGAGGTTCTCAGCCTGGGGACACGGGGACAGCTTGGGGACATCAGCATGGGGACATGGGGACAGTCACACAGACATGGGGACACAGGGACAGGGAGATGGGGACATGGGGACTCGTTGCTGAACCCAAAATCCACCAGCTGGATGTTGGCCTCCGTGTCCAGGAGGAGGTTCTCAGCCTGGGGACACGGGGACAGCCTAGGGACACCGGCACAGGGACGTGGGGACACCCATGGGGACACAGGCAGGTCTGGCATGGGGACACTGGGACAGGCACAGGGACACCGGGACAGGGACAGTTACCACATTGGGGACAGGGACACCAGGATGGGGACACTGGGACAGGGACATGGGGACAGTCACCACATTGGTGACAGGGACACCCGGACAGTCACCACACCCCCGTGGCCCCACCCGGTGCCACCCCCGGGAGGTGACACTGCCCAGTGCCACCCGGGGAGGTGACAGCGCGTGTCCCCTGTCCCACCTTGAGGTCGCGGTGGACGATGTTTTTCTGGTGACAGTAGTGCACGGCCGAGACGATCTGGGGACGTGGGGACA